CCCTCCCCCTTCCCTCCAACCCTCCCCTTCCAGTCCTGACCCTCCCCCTTCCCTCCAGCCCTCCACCTGGCTGCCCATCACCACCCCCCACCCCCATGCGGAGCGAGTGCGAGGAATGCAAAGGGCTACGGGTCTGGCCCGGCGAATGGGCCCATGTCACAGGCATGGAGACCCAGCCCAGAAATGCTCACACTGAACCCACACAGGCACCTCGTGTCCCCTTCCATCCCAGCCTGCGCTTCTGTCCTTAACCCCCGTCCCTCTCCACAGGTGCTGGCCTCGCACCTGGAGTCGGCGGGGTTCCAGGCTTAGTGCCTGGGGCCGGCATGGTGCCAGTCGCAACGCCGGGGGCTGGTGGGGTGCCAGTTGTAACGCCGGGGACTGGGGGCTTTGTGCCCGGTGTGGGAAGAGTGCCAGGCACGGGCATTGTACCTGGAGTAGGTAAGTGCATATCCTGTCACTCAGTGGTGCTGGTTCCAATGGGATGCCCCTCGGAGGGTATCTCCTGGGCACTGGGGCAGCTCTGGCATCGGAGCACCAGAAGGGTTGGGCCCTGCTGTGAGTAGTAGCAGGTGGCTCTGAATGTGAAGGGCAGAACAGTCACCCATGCGCCATCTGTCCCCTGAAGCCAAGTAAGGCGGGTTGACGATAGACGGGCACCGGGCGCCATGTGGCTCCTGACTCTAACTCAATGCTCTTCTCACTCTGCAGGGATTCCCCAGCTGGGCGTGCAGCCAGGCGCCAAGCCTCCCAAGTACGGTAGGCACCTCCCCACCTTGGCCCAGCCAATGGCTCTTCTCTGCCCTCCACCGACTGTGGCCCATCCTGCCCACTTTTCCCCTGTGCCCTCTGTGTGGAGGGCTGAGGAGCTGTCCTGTCGCTCAGCGCAGACAGCCAGAGCCAGCCACCTGTCTCTCCAGACTGACAGCAACTTCCGTCTGGAGCCGCCGACATCCATCCTGGGGACCCTGTCTCCACCCACCGGCCTTGGCTTTGAAACTCTGCCCCTCTCCTGCCCTGCACTGCCCCTCTGGGGAGCTAGGGCCTCCAGAGCCTAGGCCAGATCCAGCAAAGGCAGCTTCCCCATAGCCACTGCTCCTGCCCTGTTCCACACCCCTCTTCTACTGAGGGGAACGGGGAAGACATAACATAAGAACGGCCACACTGGGTCAGACCAAAGATCCATCTAGCCCAACATCCTGTCTTCCGACAGCAGCCAATGCCAGGTGCTTCAAAGGGAATGAACAGAACAGGGCAATTTACTGAGTGATCCATCCCCTGTCATTCATTCAAAGCATCTGGCAGTCAGAGGCTGCCTGACCTCTTGGCTAATAGCATTGATGGACATGTCCACCAGGAAATGATCTAATTCTTGTCTGAACCCAGTTATACTTTTGTCCTTCACTAAATCCCCTGGCAAGGAGTTCCGTAGGTTGACTGTGCGTTGCATGAAGAAGTGCTTCCTTCTGTTTGCTTTAAACCTGCTGCCTACTAGACATGTCTTTGAGTGCCACAGAGCCAGTGCTTCTGCTTCCCTAATACAGCGCCACATGCAGGAAGGGGTTGGGGCAGGAGGAGCTGTGGATTCCTCTCCAGCTAGCGCTCCAGAGCAGGCTTTGTTCTTTCCTTTGGCCGGAATCGGTCCCAGCTCCACTTCTGAGTTTAGCTAGGCAGGTTCTCACTACTTAGCCCCAAACATGCATGTCGGGGCAGAGCTGTATTGTTTTGTGAGTTCAGGCCTGTGAATTCTCTGCCTTGCATTAAGGAAGAATGGCAGAAGGCATTTGGGGTGAAACTGAGCATTACAGACTATGATCTGTGGCCACGAAACCAAGGCAGACCGGCCAAAGCTTGCAGTGTCCACAGCGAGCAGGCAGAAATCCCTGAGCCCCTCACTGCTCTGCCTCGCAGAAAGAACTTACCTGGCAGGTGTGCGGGGCCAGGTGTGTGCAGGGACCGGGCGCTCTCCTTCTCGACCTGTAGCGCTATGGCACTATCAAGAGGCCAGTTCATTTTATGTTTTTAAAGCATTTTCCCTCTGTCTTCCTGGTGCTATTTTATTAAATCTTGCAGTGCATGCTTATCGGGATCACTGATGTAGGCCGTGTGTGCACAGCAGTGTGTGTGTGTCTCTTATTAGTATGTGTGCATGTGTGCGCACGCAGGTTATATATGTGTGCGTGTATGTGTGTGCGCGTGCAGGTGATAGGTGTGTGTGCGCACGTGCAGGTTATGTGTGTGTGTGTGTGCGTGTGCAGGTTGTGTGTGTGTGCATATGCAGGTTATGTGTGTGCGCA